CTCGAGGCGGACGCGGCCGACGAGGCGCCGCTCCTCCTGCGGCTGCCGGGGAGACACGTCCACGACACGTCCACGACATGTCCACGACACGTCCCACAGGCGTCACTCTTTGGGCTGCTGCCCGCCGACCGGCGGGGACCCGACCCGGACGCGACCACCGTCTTCGTCGGCAGCCTGCCCCTAGAAGCCGAGCACAGACCCATACCTCCCCGTATCTCCGCCACATCTCGAGCCCCTAGAAGCCGAGCACAGACCCATACCTCCCCGTATCTCCGCCACATCTCGAGCCCCTAGAAGCCGAGCACAGACCCATACCTCCCCGTATCTCCGCCACATCTCGAGCCCCTAGAAGCCGAGCACAGACCCATACCTCCCCGTATCTCCGCCATATCTCGAGCCCCTAGAAGCCGAGCACAGACCCATACCTCCCCGTATCTCCGCCACATCTCGAGCCCCTAGAAGCCGAGCACCGCCACATCTCGAGCCCCTAGAAGCCGAGCACAGACCCGTGTACTCCGGCCAGCACTCGAGAGGAGGCCGTACTCTGGGTCATCGTCTCCGCCGTAGTCAGCGGGCATCCGTATCCCTCGTATTCACGCGGTGCTCTGAAGAAGCAGCGCACGAGTCCGTGGCCGCACCCTGACGGTGGTGTACTAACACTGCAGGCAACCTGCCCTTCGACGCCACGGAGGAGGACGTGCGCGACTTTTTCGCCGAGGTGGGCGCGGCGGTGTCGGTGCGCATGCCGCTGCCAACGCGAGACGTCGTGTCGCACATATCCACGCCACGTCCGCGACACACGTCCGCGACACGTCCGCGACACGTCCGCGACACGTCCGCGACACGCCCGCGACACACGTCCGCGACACGTCCGCGACACGTCCGCGACACGCCCGCGACACACGTCCGCGACACGTCCGCGACACGTGGCCATCCTCCTGTCAGGTCCGCATGCCGCTCAACCGCGAGACGGGTGGCGCGTCCGGCATCGCGTTCGTTGAGTTTAGTTCGCCCGAGCTCGTCGCCGCCGCCGCGCGGCTCAACGGGGAGGACTTGATGGGCCGCTCCCTCAAGATCAACGTCGCGGAGAGCAAGCCCGACGCCAAAAGGCAGCACAGCGCGCCGCCGCCGCGGCCGCCGGCCGCCGCCGCTGCCAGCGCTGGCGGCGGCCGGCAGTCGCCGCCGCGGAAGCGCGCGCCGCCGCCTCCCCCGCCACGCCGTTCGCGTTCGCCGCAGCGGCGCGACCGCTCGCGCGGCCGTGAGCGCGGCCGCGACCACTCGCGCAGCCGCGACCGCAGGGATCGCGACCGCAGCCGTGGCCGCAGGGGCCGCAGCCGCAGCCGCAGCCACGACCGCAGCCGCAGCCGCGACGGCAGGGGCCGCGACCGCAGCGACCACAGCGACGGCCGCGAGCGGCGCGAGCGTAGCCGCGAGCGCGTGAGAGCGTCTCCGAGCAAGTCGCGCTCGCGCTCGCCGGCAGACGGCGACGACGAGAGGTCCTCCAGCGAGGAGCGCCGCCCGCGCCGCCGCCGACGCGACCGTAGCCGCAGCCCTCCCTCTCACAGCAGCGGGCGGCGCAGCAGCGACGGCGGCAGCTAGCGCGAGCGCACGACACTCGAGAGCTGACACACTTTTCGGTGCGCAGCTACATCCTACAGCACGCCTGTTCACTCCACATACCACAAGCAACAGTTGTGTCAGTTTTGTGAAATCGGCGTTCCTTGACATATGTCAAGGAACGCGTTGTTATTTTATTCCTTTTTGCAGGACGGCTGGTCGGAGCGACGGCCGATCCACAGCAGTCGTCTGCGACATGGCAGTGGCCCCGGGTCACGATGTGCAGCTGGTCCCGCGCCGAGCGGCTCAGGTCCCAGATCGAATCTCGGACCCACAGATTCTAGATTCCTTTAGATTCCCTGGATTCCCGCAACAGCGATCTCTTAGCGGCGGCAAAAAAAAACAGAGGCGCAACTCTGCCACCTTGCCTCGTCGCGTCAGCCCGCCCCCATCCCCGCTGAGCCACGTCTGCACCACGCCCACCTTGCCGTCCTCCGCCGCTGTCTCGATCTTTTTCGGCAGCGCGAGCGGTAACCAGCCTGTGACGCCGTCGAAGCGTGTCCGCGCCGGGAGGCTGAGCCAGCTTTTGGCATGGAGGACTCCTCATTGGGGGCTATTCTTTTTGTGCTCCTCTCTCAGGAGGCCAGCGGAGGTAAGGACCGATCGATTCGCCGTGTCTTCGCTTTTTAGGTTTATTGTTGGCAAATCAAGACACAGAGCTCATCACACAGAATCACAGCGGGAGGAAAGCGGCGAGTCGCAATTCCTGGGGTCCTTGTGGCGGGCAGGGTTCGTGAGTGAAATTTCACCCTTTCACTTTCACATGTGAATTCATGTGAATTTCACATGAAACGTTTCGGCCGCCCCCGTTTCACTGAAAATTTCACAAGTTTGCATCCAAACGCGGTGAAAGCGACGAAGTATAGAAAGGAGAGAGCCCAACCGAGTAACTAGTGAGAGGAGGTGCGAGAGCAGCTTGGTTCGTGAGGTGTGTCCTGCTCGGGGCTCAGGCGCTCGAGGACGTGTGTGTAGCCTCAATGTTCTTTAAATGCGCGCCCCCGCCGAAATACAATACACCAACACGCGAGATGCGTCGGCAGCGACGCGCACGACGACCTCTAAGGAGCACCGTGATCCGTGTCGTTAGGGTTAGGGGTAGGGGTAGGGTTAGGGTTAGGGTTAGGGTAAGGGTTAGGGTCAGAGAGTCCAAGCCGTTGTGTGCAGCTTTTAACAGCAATATGCGGCGCTGGCCTCGAAGCGGCCGTTTATTGTTGTGCACGAAGCGGACACGGCCAAGGGAGGCGCCTCGATCCAGGCGCTCCGGGACGAGTGCCGCGAGAGCTGCGTCGAGGTCGCCCCACCTGCCTACCCCTCCTACAGCGGGCCAGACGAGGTGCTCGCGTGCGTATTTGACGAGGCGGATCCGATCGTGTGGGTGCGAGTGCACGATTTCCAGGTGGAGTCGCTCAAGGAGATCGCGCTGCGCATGCTTCGCCACACCCCGTACTACGCGCGACACAACAGCGAGCTCGCGCCGGGCGTCGCGGTGCCGGGCGAGGTTGGGCCGTTTGCCTTAAGCAGCCCAATCACTGTCCTTGTGTGTCGCGACAACAAGGGTGCCTTCGACGTGGCAAGGGAGGTCAAGGCGGTTGCGAGGGAGGGGCGAGGCTCTGCTGCGACCAATGCTGAGGCATTCACGATCCGCGAGGCGGATGACGCACTCGAGAGAGCCAATGCCGCACCGCTCCAGGGGCGCGCCGTATTGCTGCTTTACCTGAACGAGAAGACCTTTCTTGACCCGTCCGGCACCGTCGCGCGCATCGTGCAAACGGCAATGGACCGTGGCATTGCCATCGCTCCAGTCGCCGAGCAGGACCCTGCCAGCGGCGGTTGCGCGTTTCGGCAGTTTTTTCAACAGACGCCGCAGGTGCTGCAGCAGCCGCCGTACAAGCTCTTCGACACGCTGGCCGTGCCGCTCTACCCTTCCTCGCAGCACCGCAAAGTGAGCCTACGCCACGTACTCCGAGGCATGGGCGCCCAACCCCAAAGCGGCGGGGGAATGCGCAATGTGTTCACAGCCGCGGTGCTCTCGTGCGCACGGTGTCTGACGAGGAAGGACAGCAGAAGGATCGAACCAGCCGCAGCCGAGCCGCCTATAGATCGACAAAAGGTCGCTAGTCCCGGGGGAACGGCGTCGCTGCCCGAGCCTGCACCGCCTGAGGCTGCAACGCAGGGAGTCCCGACTCGAGCTGCGAGCTATGACGTGCAAGAGGAAGCGGACGCCCTCGCCCTGCACCGCGAGCGTGTGCTCAAGTCGTTGCGGTCCAGGCTGAACGCAACACAGGTCGCTGACTCTTTGCATACCCGCCATCGCGATGCTCCGGCGCCGCCCTTACCCGGAGGCCGCTCGTCAAAGAGCCCACCGCGACTGCGTCCACCGCCCCCGCCGTCTGGGCCTTCTCGCGAGAGCTTAGCGCTTGAGCGCGTCGCCCGCATCCGCACGGCACAAGAGAAGCGGCTGCAGGTCCGTGCAAATAGCTGCAAATCCGTGCTGGCTCACGCGGAGGGGGCAGGGGGACTTGCAAGGGGCGGGGGCGTGGAGGGCGAACCTCTTGCGGCCTAGCGGGACCGAGTCAGTCAGTCAGTCAGTCAGTCAGTGTTACACACGTCCACACGTGACCCTAGCATGACGACGGGGCACACGCACTCGCGGAACACACGGGGTATTACACACGAGGCGAGAGACGTAGAGAAAGAGATCTTTCAAACTCGGTGTCGAACCACCAGCCCGACGCTCACTACAAGTGAGAGACACAAACAGGCTCACAAGACGAGGAGCGAAACAAAGCTTCCTGGAAAAGCCAACCTACGTACAAAGAGGAGATGAAAAAACTGAATCGGGCGGATAGAAGTCAAAGGAGGCCACAGCTACCACCGTGGAGAGACCCACTACGAAGTCATCTCCGCCTACGAGGCGGAGATGGCGTCGAGAGGCATTTAGATGCGCAGAGGCAGCACGGGTTTTCCTATTTTTGGCGGGAAGACCTCGGTTGTGTGCACAGACACTTTGACCTCGGTGGCATTCTGCGAAAGGCCGAGACCGAGTGTGAAGGGGATGGTATGACCTTCACCGTCAGCTACCAGATGAGAGACACTCACCTCACGAATTGGAGGTACCTACAGGGGAAATACTCTCATTGGAGCATCGCAACTCGCGATGGCGAAAACACGAGTTTCAGCGTCGGCCTCGCAGCCATACGGCGCAGAACCGACTGTGGATACTTCACCGTCACCGCCAGGCGCGCTATAAGTACCCCTCTGACGGAGGGTACCGGTAGCGCCGCTTTCCTGCTCGCGAGCAGCGCATGGTTTGTTAAAGAGGATGATACTTCCGCGCAGGAATTCTTCGTTGACGTAAGTAAAGAGCTCTGCGAACTCACAGAAGAGGAACTAGCGTGTTTATGGAAGAGGAGGGGATACGTCGACAAATCCACATGGCTGCGTATGAGACGCATGCTCTGGTTAGGAAAGAATACGAGACGAGGTATGAGGGTCTCACACGGGATACGATTGAGGTGCGCCTTCCCTTCGTGCCAGGGGTTGACGCTCGCCCTCTTCGAGCCTTCCTCGATGAGCTAGTGAGACGGCAACCCTGGCCGGAGCACATAATCGAGTGGCACTCTCAACGGATCAAGATAGTGACAGTACGGCAGAAGAACATTATAGAGAGACTTGCAAATGTCGGTGACCCGAGGAGACCACAGAGATGCGCCTGTCAAGCGATACAGCAGCGACTTGTCTCTTTCGGGTTCGATCCTCTACCGAAGACGGAGGGGCATATTTTCTGCATTGGACGGGAGTACAACGGCCCACACGCCGAGGTACTACACCGAAGCAACAAAAATGTGCCAATCTCGACTGCTAGAGACATGCGTGTGGCATGGGATAAGGCACTCGGAAGCCTTCCCGCAAGTGTGCGGGAAGCCGGGGGAGATGGCGAGTGGAAACGGGTGCTCGCTGAGACACTTGCTGAAACAGACGAGACATGTCTACCATGCGCAGACGTTGTCACTTCGAATCAGGTTGCACAAGTCAAGAGCGTCCTGCGAGGGAGCGTTATAGGATGGCTGGACAAGAATGTCGGAGAGGTTTTTGTTACTTGCCCTGTCACATATGCGAAGACGCTAGACGCGCTATTCGACACTTCAAATGGCAACTATACGCGCGTATATCCGCTAAAGGATACGGCGTATAAGAGGAAGAAATACGGAGCTGATGATCTGCTCAGAAACATGACGATAGAAGATCGGTCGCGAGTACGAGCGAACCAGCTAAGCACTGACGGTACGCTCGACGCGACGCTAATCTCTGCGTGGCGATGGTTCTACAGAAAGAAGGGATGGCATAAGATCACCAAATTCGATAGCAAGGGAAGAGTCACGGCGCCGTATGCGCTATATAAGGCAAAGAACGTTACTGATCCGACAGTGCGAGCACAGAAGCTGCACAAGGCGAGACCGATCACGCCGTACGCAAAGCATCCGATGGCGAAACTTTTGAGCCTCGTTGGCAGGGCGTGGAGTTTCGTACTCCGACACCTGAAGGGTGAGCACTTCATTCAGCATGATTGCCAAAGTGTGCCCCAAATGCTGAGAGAGGCGGCCGAGGCGCTTCGAGGGAAGGGAGAGCTCAGCTACGAGATTAACGACGTCGACAGCTGTTACCCGAGTATGCCAAAGGAAGCGATGCGGGTGGCAATGAGAGACATTCTAAATGATGTGCGCAATAATCTGCCATCTGGCGCGGGAGAGGACCCGAGAATACTTGTACCGAAGAGAGGCAAGAAGAAATGCTCGTGGGCACAACAAGGAGAGGTGTGGGGACACGCATCGATCAGCTTCTCGACGATGCTCGAGGTGATCGATTTCGATCTAGATAACTGCTACGTCATCACGTATGACGGACGCCTGCTAAAGCAGGCCCGCGGTATCCCGATGGGGAGTGCACTCTCGCCACCGCTGGCGATAGGAACTCTCGCATGGATGGAGCAGGAATGGATGCATACGCTTGAAGATGATGTCAAAGCCCGATTCCGTATGAAACGATACATGGACGATGTGATTACGATAACTGCAAAGGACGATAGTGTGTGGGATGTCGACCGCTTTCGGGAGGACTTCCGCCGTTCTGAATGCTACTGGGCTCCTTTGAAGCTAGAGGCAGCAGAGAGCGCCCATTTCTTGGAAACGACTCTCGAGCTCGACCCAAGCGGAAGCTTCCGGACGAGACTCAAGAACGTGAACGAGGAGTGCGAGGCGGTACCCCGGGTGTGGCGCTACCATCGTTGGGATAGCTTCACATGCGCGAAAATGAAGGAGGGAATCGTTGTTGGATGCCTGCTCAAGGTTGTCGCAATGGCGAGCGATGACGAGGGATTCACGCTCAGCGTGACGAGCAAGCTCAGGGAGTTTACGGCGCTCGGATACCCCTCACACGTGCTTAATGGGGCTATCGGGCGCGCGTTTGCCCGGACAAGAGACGAGCGGCTCCTTCGGGCCAGACTATGTTCACAACGGTGGGAGGCCAACCTCTAGCCATGTGAACCAAAAAGAAAAATATATTCTCAAAGCCAGTCAGAGCACCGTCCAAAGGCGGGTGCTGTCGACTAAGGGACAATCTTGTCTGTCGGCAGCCGAACTTGTGATGGGACACCCTCGGAATCCAACTGCGTACTACTTGGCTAGCACGCTATTGGCATACCGACGGCTAAGGCCGAAATCGGTTCACACCTGCTCTTGCAGGTGTGAACACAAAGGATTCGCTGTATCTACTAAGCTGCTCCGCTTACACTTACCTGTGAAGTGTGAACAGCGGATTTTGAATCAGCGTTCTCCTTGAACGATATCGGTGTCGAAACACCGCTCTGACAGCGCGAAACACCGTCTGACACCGCCGGAGGTTGCTCGAAACACCTTCTGACAGCGCTCACAGCTACACACAGCAATGAGTGCGCGACACGCATGACCACCGCCGTCCCCTCCTGGCACTCCAGCATGCCCGCCTGCGTCGACATTCTCGCGCCGCTCCTCGCTGCCGGCGACCTCCACACGGCCCGCTTTGCGGCTCTCGAGTATGCTATGCGGCCTGCCGCCAGCGCCGCGTCTCCCAGTCCTTGGCAGCAGCCGGCGGGCGGCACCGCGCTCGCAGCTTTTGACAAGGCTGCCGGCGACGAGTGTGGTGCCGCGTGGAGAGAGCTGCTCGACGAGTTCCTGCTCTCCGGAGAGCCAGCGCTCGCCACCGTTGCCGCGAAGCACTCGGCGCTGACACTGCCGCCTCCGCCACCGCCGTCCGCATCGCTCATCAGCATGGAGGACTATGATGCGTGCTGCTCATGGCTCGCTCGTGGAGGCGACGCGCCCCGGCGGTGTGGCGCGGCGTCGCCCGGCGGCAGCGGCTGCTCTCTCGCCAACGGCTCGACGGCTGCGTTGCTCTTGCCGATGCTGCGGGAGCCTCTGGTCAGTGTGATGCTACCGGGCCGACGCCTGCTACGCCTCGAGCAGGACAACCTTCCTGTGCCCCTTCGACGATCTCGCTGGGCTAATCTGGGCTAACTCTCGGCTAATCTCGCTGAATCAGGACGGCTTCCTGCGCCCCTTCGACGTCGCGACCGTCCTGTGGCCCGCAGGCTACCTGCTCGGACTCTGGGTGGCGGCGGAAGCGCGGCCAGGTAACCTGTAGCGCCGTCCCATCCCCGAGATGTAGCCGAGAGCCGATATTCAGCCGAGACGTATTGCAATAGCCGAGATAGGCCAGAGTCACTCAGCGCGCCCCAGAAACCGAGTCAGACCGGGTCAGCGAATCATTTCTGTAAATGCTTGGCAGGAGGTGGCTTGTCACGTGGCGAGCTGTGAACAGCGTCTCTTCACGGCTCGGCCTGTGAACAGGTGGGCTGCTGTGGCGGGGCGGCGACGGCGCAGAGAGCTGCCAGGTGGGGGGAGACGGAGGCGGCGGCGATGGCGATGGCGATGGGGATGGGGGTGGGGGTGGTGGTGGCAGCGGCGTTGGCGGCAGCAGGGCCGGCGGCGATGTCGGCGGCGGCGGAAGCGTCGCGCCTCCGCTCTCGGTCCTCAACTTGGGGGCGCGGCACTCGGCGCACGGGGCGTGAACGGCGTCTCTTCACACCTCCAGCCGTGAGCAGGTCCTCGACTTGGGATGCGGCACGGGCGCCGTGGCCTTGGCGGCCGCCGCTTCGCTCGGCGGCGGCGCTGTCGTGACCGCAGTCGACCGCGAGAGTCGCTCTCTCGCTCTGGCGACCGCAAACGCGGCGCGGAACGGCCTCGAGGTGCGCCTCTCGCCCCTCGACTATGCGACCGACGAGGCGGTCGCCGCGTTTGCCGCAAGGCACGGCGTCACCGCACCCTCTCCTAGTACGGTCGAATGCAATACACCACTACACAACATGACGTCAGGCACGCCCCCTTCGACCTCGTTACCGGCGCCGCGCTGATGGAGCTGTCGACCTCTCCGCGCCTCTGGTCAGTGCTTCGCGCCCTCACAGCGCCCGGCGGGGCAATCGGCGTCGCCGCCAACGACGCCGAGACCGCCGCCGATGCCACCGCCGCCGATGCCACCGCCGCCGATGCCACCGCGAGCACCGAGGTGGTCGGACACCAGCGGCGTCGGAGGCGGGGGAGCCTGGTCGCGCTAGCGCATACCGTCGGCGCCGTCGCGTCGCCGCCCGAAGGGAGCGGTTTCGTCGAGGTGGCAAGGGTGGCGGGGCTCGGCTTTGGGCTGCACACGCGGTGGAGCGAGAGCGAGTCGGACTTTGAGGTGGTGGTGGCGCGCCGGGTAAAAAAATAAGAAGCCATATACCAAAAGGAACTGCATGTGCATGTGCCTCATCATGTGGCATATGTGCACGATGCATGTGCGCATGTGCATGTAGAGCGCGTGACGCGGGGTAAAGTTAAAAGTACGGGCAACGGCTGACGGCCTGTGTGCAAAAGGTGTACACCGGCCGCGGCTCTCGATCTCTCGACCTCGGTCAGGCCTGCTCCTGCAGGTACGCGAGCGCCTGGGCGAGGCCGAGCGTGGCGGCGCCAGGGGCGGCTGCGGCTCCCGCCCGGCCGAGAAACTCTCCCACATCCGCTGCGAACTCGTCTGCGGGCAGCTCTCCGCGCTCCTCGCAGGTCAGCATCAGCTCCCACGCCTCTCGTAGCGGCAGGTGGCCCTCTGGCATGGCGGCGCTCGCCAAAAGGGACAGCCGGGCGAGCGCGGCCTCCCACCCAGCGCGCAGCTGCTGCTCACGCTCCGCTGTCAGCAGCGGCGACTCCTCGCGGTACCACCGATCGACGACTGCCCCAATGTGCCGCCCGACCACAGCCTCGTCGGGCGGCCGGCCGCCGGCCGCCGCCTCTGCCCGCCGCATGACGCAGACGCTCGCCTGCTGCTCCACTCCTGGGAGGCGCAGCGCCGTGTGCCGCACCTCCCAGCCGAGCTCCGGGCAAGATAGGACCGGAACGAGCAGCTCCGGCTTGCGGAACGAGACGACGACGTACACGCCACGAGGCGAGAGTAGCCACGAGCGCACATTGCAGAGGAGGCGCGCGGCGTCGTGCTCGACGATGGCGCAGTCCAGCATCCCCTTGTCCACGACAAGGTCGGCGAGACCTTGCGGGCAAGCGGATGCCAGCGAGTCGGCGTCGCACACGTCGCACGTCGCCCACGCCACCCGCCGGTGCTCCGATCCGTGCTGGGTTCGCATGGTCTCCGCGGTATGCTGCTCCCGATCCAGGCCCAAAACGCTCTCATAGAGCGAGCCGAGGTGCAGCGGCAGCGTGGAGTTGCCACATCCGACGTCCGTCACGCGTGCCGTGCGAGGCAGGCCCAGCGCCTCGGGCGTGAGGAGCGGCGCGAGCTTATCCCAGCCGGCGACCCACTCGAAGGTGCCGCGGCGCTCGTCGACCAAAGCAGCCATTCAGGGTTCCGCAATACCCGGGTACCCGGCTAGCCATACCCGGGTAGGTACAACTTGGCGCTCGCATACAAGCGAGAGAGAGAGATATAAGTACAAGCGAGCCGGCGCGTCAGCGTAGGAAGGGGCAACCACTATATGTGGTGTGCCAACCTCTATGTGGTGCGGCGGCGCAGAGTGCGCCGGAACGGCGGAGAAAACGGCGCACTTCTGCGCCGGCGCCGGCGCACTCTGTCTGCGCCGGCGGCGCACTTTTAACGCATAACGGCGGCGGCGGCGGCAGCGGCGACGGCGGCGGCGACGGCGGCGGCGGCAGTGGCGGAGGGCTCCAGGAGGGGTGCCCGCGTGGTTGGGTTTGTCGGATGGCTTTTTGCGCCGCGCAGAGGCGCTGCAGATCGGCCAGCGAGAGACTCATGAGCGTCTGGGTTGAGCGTGTGGGGCCCCAAATCTGTGCCGGCGGCGCACATGTGCGCCGCCGGCGCAGAGTGCGCCGTATACGTTTGCAGAAGTGCGCCGGCGACGGCGCAGAAGTGCGCCGGCGACGGCGCAAAAGTGCGCCGGCGCCGGCGGAGAAAACGGCGCACTTTTGCTCGCACCAAATACGCGTTTTGCATGGTTTTCGCGCCCCACGGCCGGCCCAGTTCGCCGCCCGGCCCGCCCGTCCGCCCGCCGCCTACAGTGCCCACCCCGCGCCCCTGGACGGCCCGAAAACGGGGCGCCGCGAGCTCGCGACGCCGAGTTTTCCTCGAAATCACACCACATAGTGGTTGCCCCTTCCTATGACCAGGCGGCCGCGTATGAGACAGCGCTGAAATCTCAAAACCTGGTAAGCCAAACTTCATGGCCAACTACATCAAGCTGTGCCTGGTGATGGCCGGTGAGAGGCGCGGCGACCCTGAAGTAGCTCACGCCCTGCAGGAGAAGGCGGGTAAATATCGCTGAGCAAGCTCTTCCGCCCGGTGACGACGCTGCCCGAGAATCGGGGTCTCGACTGCAATCTCGGCATCGACTTTGTTCCAGGATACTCGCAGCCTGAGCCCTTCGAGGGTGTCGAGCTGCTGTCGAGGGGTAGAGGTGTCGAGGCCTGTCGAGGCCTGTGGAGGCCTGTCGAGGCCTGTCGAGGCCTGTCGAGGCTGGTACCATGCTTGCCAGTGTCGAGGGGTGTCGAGGGGTGTCGAGGGGTGTCGAGGGGTGTCGAGGGTGTCGAGGGTGTCGAGGGTGTCGAGCGGGTGTCGAGTGTTGTCAAGAGGCGTCTGAGGTGTCGAGGTGTCCAAGGTGGCAGGATGCAGTTGCAGCCCACCAACAAAACTTGGGCAGCAGTTGCAAAGCTGTTTCATCCCTTAGTTGCAGCCTCTCAGTTGCACCCTGTTGATGTAGCACAACCTGAGAGGTGAGAGCACAACCAGTATACTCTATGTGGACATTTGAGGACATCAAGTGCCGTCATTGCCACTGTGTGCACATCGATGTGCACAAAGGTGCTGTGCAGGCAAGGCTGGTGCCATGAGTCAGTGAACATTGCCACTGCACAAGGTGCGGTCCCCAAGTAAAATTCTTTTTCGCCGAGCTGTCCAAAGACGAATGGTGCGTCGCACGCCGCCTCCGCCGTCCGCGGAGGGTGTCGGCGAAGTCTCTGCAAGCATTCAGAAGGCCGCCAAGGATGGCCAAGCGGGCGCGGTGCTGGCGTGGCTCGACGGCGGCGGGTGGGTCGACGCGACCTTCGAGTACGCCTTTGGGAGCGGCTCTCGTGCGAGCGGCATGACGCTGCTGATGCTCGCAATGGCCCATGGCCACGCGGAGCTGGCCGAGGCGCTTCTGCGGCGCGGCGCGGATGTATCGTTGCAGAACGGCAACGGCGACACTGCGCTGATTCTCGCCGCGGCGAACGGCCAAGAGAAGCTGGTCGAGCTGGCTTTGCGGCACGGCGCGGAGATCAATCAGAGAAGCCGCACGACCGGCGGCACTGCGCTGATGGATGCCGCCTACAGAGGCGACTTGCGAGTGGTCGACACGCTGATCCGGCTCGGCGCAGAGATCAACCTGCAGGCCAACAAGGGCGTCACCGCTCTGATGCTCGCCGCCCTCGGCAACCATCCCACCGTCGTGCTCCGCTTGCTGCGGGCAGGCGCAGACATGAAGCTGCGCAACGTGGACGGTGAGAGGGCGCTGCAGATTGCCAAGGAGAGCGGCCACGCCGAGTGCTTCGAGGCTTTCAGGACGTATCTCGGGGAGGTGGCGGCAGCTCGGAGCAAGGCGCCGTCGGCCGAGGCGGGTGGCGCAAGGGCGAACGGCGCACCCGCAGGCGAGGCGGAGGCGGGCGCCAGTGCTGCGGCCTCTGCTTTGATCGGCGAGGGCGGCGCAGAGGCCGCGCCGGGCAGCGGAGAGGTGCCAAAGGAGGTCGTGCTAGCGGCTCGGCGAGGCGAGGAGGCGGCGGTGCTGGAGTGGCTCGACGGCGGCGGGCGGGTCGACGCGACGTTCGAGTACACCTTTGGTGACGGCTCCTGTGCGAGCGGCATGACGCTGCTGATGCTCGCAATGGCCTTGGGCCACGCGGGGCTGGCCGAGGCGCTTCTGCGGCGCGGTGCGGATGTCTCGTTGCAGACCAGAAGCGGCAGTGCCGTGTTGGGTTTCGCCGCCACCAACGGCTACGAGAACCTGGTCGAGCTGGCTTTGCGGCACGGCGCGGAGGTCGATCAGAAGTACAGCAACGGCAGCACTGCGCTGATGGAGGCCGCCTACAAAGGCTACGAGCGGATTGTCGACATGCTAATCCGGCACGGCGCGGAGATCGACCTGCACAACAACGACGGCGACAACGCGCTGATTCTCGCCGCTTTCTACGGCCACCCCGCCGTCCTTCTGTGCTTGCTGCGGGCCGGCGCAGGTGTGACGCTGTGCACTACGGAGGGCGAGATCGCGCTGCAGCTGGCCAAGGAGAAGGGCAACGCCGAGTGCGTGCGCGTCCTCGAGGAGCACGCGGCGGCCGAGAAGGCGGCCGAGAAGGCGGCGAAGGAGGCGGCGTGGGCTGCGGGGGCGGCGGAGAGGGAGGCGGCGAGGGCGGCGGAAGAGAAGGAGGCGGCGCGGCACGCCGACGAGCTGCTGGCGGAGGTCGAGGCGGAGAAGCGCGCCAAGGGCAAGAAGGGCAAGAAGAAGAAGAAGGGCGGAGGGGCGGGCGCGGCTGGGCCGTCGCAGGAGGCGAAGGGGGGTGCCGAGGCGCCGTTGGAGGCAGCCGAGGCCGCAAAGAAGGCCGAGGAGGAGAGAATGATCAGGCTCCTCGAGAAGTGTCACGAGGAGAGGATCCGGTTCGGCATCACGCCAGAGAGCCAGGCGGCGGCGTCGGCAGAGGTGGCTAAGGCGGCGCGCTTGGACGCTGCGGCGGACGAGGCGGAGGAGGAGGCGGAGGCGGAGCAGGAGGCCGAGGCGGCGGCCGTGGCGGCGCTAGCGGATGCTGAGGTGGCGCGGGCGGAGGCCAGGGCGGCGCAGGTGGCAGCGACAGCAGCAGTGGAGAAGGTCATGGCGGCGCTGGAGGAGGCCAAGGCGGCGCTGAGCGAGGCCGACTCGGCGCTTGAGGGGCGCGAGACGGAGCTGCAGGCGGCGATAGGCGCTGCAGAGGCGACGGGAACTGCTGCGGGCGCGGCGAGGGCCAGGGCGGACGCTGCCAGGGAGGCTGCGGATGCGGCCCAAAGCGATGCCGTTGCATAGACCATGCTGTTTCTTGAGGGGCACGCGGGTTCGATTTTGCCGCATTCGGTTGTGCGTACGCAGCGGTTTACGTTTGTGGGGGCTGTACTTGTGCGGGGCGCGCATGCACACTATTCACTATTCTTACTATTCACTACGACCACCGACGACCGCTACTTTGGCGAGACCAGTGGCAGGCGCTGGGCCTCTGCACGGCTACACGCGCATCTTCGAAAACATGCTGCTCCACGACCCAAACATCACGCTGCGGCTGGGCGTCGACTACTTCAAGGAGAGGGCGGCGGGCACGCTGCCCGACTATGGCATGCTCGTGTACACGGGTCCGATCGACGCCCACACACACCCGCTCACTGACCCAAGTTCCTCAATTAGGCATGCTCGTGTACACGGGTCCGATCGACGCCCACACACACCCGCTCACTGACCCAAGTTCCTCAATTAGGCATGCTCGTGTACACGGGTCCGATCAACGCCTACTTTGCGCAGCAGGTCACTCACCCACTCACTCACACTCACTCACACGCACACACACACACACACACACACACACACACACACACACACACACACACACACACACACACACACACACACACACACACACACACACACACACACACACACACACACACACACACACACACACACACACACACACACACACACACACACACACACACACACACACGCACACACACGCACACACACACACACACACCGCTGACGCACTAAGGGCTATAGTACCCCATCGCAGCAGCGTCGCCGCCGCTGCAGCGTCGCCGTTGCAGCGTCGCCAGTGCACAAAGCGCAATGGACCACAGGTCTGCACTCATGGCACAAGCTCACTGGTGATCTGGTGTGAGGATTCATTGCCACTGTACAAGGTGCTGTGCAGCACCTGAGGGCTACCTGAGTACTGCCATGTTTGCTACATCAACAGGGGCGCAACTGAGCTGCAACTGAGCTAGAACTTGAGAGGCTGCAACTGAGGGATGAAAGTACTGCCAGCGAAGTTTGATTGCTGCTGCAATCCTGATTTTCTAACTCTGTGACTCCAATGGGTCTACCTGGTACGTCTCTGCTGTGTTAGGATCATCAGAGGTGTCGAGCGGTGTCGAGCGGTGTCGAGCGGTGTGTCGAGCGGTGTCGAGCGGTGTCGAGACCTGTCGAGGTGTCGAGTTTGGCACCTTGACACCGGCGAGCATGGTCCATGGACCAGCCAGCCTAGATGGTGTCGAGGGGTGTCGAGGGGGTGTCGAGGGGTGTCGAGGGGTGTCGAGTTGGCACGGGGTGTCGAGGTGTCGAGTTGGTGTCGAGGTTTGGTGTCGAGGTTTGGTGTCGAGGTGTCGAGGCCAGGGCTCAGCTCGCAGCGCATGCTGACGGCAGGCGTCGTGAACTCAGTGGACGCGCAGCCGGCACGCACGACGTATGCACGGCACGAGTGGATCTACGATCCGCAGCGCCAGCGGGAGGAGCGTTCAGGAGATCAATCCGGGCGATGGAAAACCGCTGACGAGCGCAGAGGCCGCCAGAGAGGCGATCCGCCGTGGCATGGCGCATGGGACGCACGTGCAGAGATATGAGACGAGAGACCGTGTGAGAGTCACGGACATTGCATGGGGCCAAGCCTCCCGTGCCTCATGTGACCGGACACTCGCGTCATTGTCTCTGTGCGGATAAGATAGCGATTAAAAAAATCTTTGACGTCGCGGGCTACTCCACGGGGCTACGCCATGGCCGACGAGCCCGCCCAGACGCCGCTGCGCACGCTGACCACGGCGCTCGCCCGCGCGGCGGCAGTCGTGGACTCCGTCTCTCCCACGCTGACGAAAATCTTCCACTACGGCCTGGTCCCGCTCGTGCTGCTCCTCGGCGTGCGCAGCGCCGAGCCGCGCCCAAGGCTGCTGGACCTGATCCTCCCCATGTGATGCATCCACGCGTTGGAGTTTCTGTGCGCTATTAAGAGGCCTGAAAAGCAGTAGCGGGCGGATCGCAGCAGTGAGCCGTCGTGATCGTGGCGTGCTCTAGCGCTGGTGGGCGCCGCACGCCCGATGTCTCATGTGAGTGGCGTCCGCGACGCCCCGCCTGCCATCTTTTCGTCCACCCCCTCTCCCATTCCGCGGCGTCGGCACTGTCCCGTACGTTAATGGTCAATATTTCACGCCGGCACCTCCGAGCTGCCGCGTGAGGCGACCCCGCGCGCCGCAGCGCATCTCTCGCGAGACTCGGCGCACGCGCCACACGCCCACGCCGTAGCGCATCTCAGACTCACTGATCACACGCGCGCCGGGGGGGGGGGGGGGGGGGGGGGCCCCCCCCCCCCTGAAACCCTTCCCAGCAAAAGCCCGACGTACACCCACCCCCTTAGAATTCAAACCCCAAAAGGCTACCCCGCTGTTGTTGGCCTGGCCCCATAAAAAAAAAACCCCCCCCCCCCGGGGGCCCCTTTG